CACCAGGTGTGATTAATGTGCAGGAATTTGTATTAGTGGGATCTGTGCAGAGACAGACCTGAGCTTGTAAAGCGGTGCTGGACATACACGCAATGGAAGAAATGCTGTAGGAGACAGTGGCATATAGAAATGAACAGACACTAATCGATGCATATAAATGTATATACATCGGGTCAATGACAAACAATTTCAAAGGGGAAACCAAGATATTTCCGAACAGAATTAGGGTGCATGTAGTCTGAATTCCTTGAATAAACTCTGTATTATAACGTGACATGGTGCAGCGCTGGTAAACAGCAGCGTTATATCTGCGCTGCAGGACATATCAGATCAGCGTGTGTAGACTTCAGCACGGCTCTTGTTTAGTCTTTGTTCCGCATTAGAGGCCCCAGCAATGTGAGACGGGAGTTTTATCTGCTGAATTGCTTAATCCTTCAAACATTCATCTCGTGAATGTGAAAGCAGGTTTTTTTTTTTGTTTTTTTTCTCTATCTGTACTCTTCCATTTCCAAACCAAGAGTCAACCTGCACAGGTGAACACACTGTACACAACATGGCGTGATAATCCTTTTATTAAAGACAGTTGGTACCAAGTTCAATATTTTTTCGCTTCGTTTACTTCATTAAGAGTCTTGATTTTACGTGAGACTGAACCACTGGTACCTTTTCTGTGAAGCGTAAGAAACTGGCTTAATCGACTTCTTGGGTAGGTTGGTCCACCACTTTGGTTGGAATTGCAGTATCTCAACAACTGTGTGATGGATTTCAATGAAATCTTTTGCAGATATTCGTGGTTCCCAAAGGATGAATTCTGCCGACTTTAGTGATCCCCTGACTTTTAGTCTAGCGCCACCATGAGGTTGAGACTTTTGGTTTTTAGTGAAATATGGTTGGTTTGTCAGTCAGTTGATCAGTTCGTTCTTGGTAGACAATTCTGGTCACTCCTGTGGATGTGGAAAACTGAAAAGTTTTTGAGAAACGCTACTGAACGATTGTACCTCCGTGTGGCAGAGAGAAGCCAACTTTCTGTCATCCCCAGCTTTCTCTTCAAATGTCGACATGGCTGATCACTCGACACAGATGTTCCAGTTGGCATGCTCAAATGAAACAAATGGAAAGAAAGATAGAGTGATTGTATTAGTTATTATTATGACCTCATCTCCAGTTAAATATGAAATGTTAGTTGGCAAAGTCAGTATTTGTTTTGAAAAGTTATTGCAGCTGTCAGTGTAGGAAATACATCCAACCAGTGCAAGACTGTCAGCAGTCTCCCAACATGGAAATACTCATTTAAAGTAAAGGTTCCTCAGAATCATACAGTGCTCATACACCTAGAAGCACACACAGGTTGAGCTAACTCAACCGTTTCTTTGTGAATTCTCCATTGATTCTCTTCTACAACAAGTCCAGTAACTTATATGCAGCTTATTAACCTCATTACATCCCAGGTTTATCTCCGAGCTGCGTTTCACATACTTCCTTATCACTGCTGATAAGAGCCGTCGTAAAGAGATGAACATAAGACGTTTGTGTCTGTGTGGAGGCATGTGAATGAGTCATATGCACACAACTATGTGCAAATGACAAAATGTGTGTGTGTGTGTGTGTGTGTGTGTGTGTGTGTGTGTGTGTGTGTGTGTGTGTGTGTGTGTGTGTGTGTGTGTGTGTGTGTGTCTTTGCACCTGCTTCCCTGGGAGGAAACATCTGCTGCAGGGTGTCAGAGGCCACCTGTCGGACTCCGTCCTGCAGCCACTGACTGACCAGCCTGCAGAACTGATCTACTGTCTGCACGAGCTCAAGCTGCTGCAGGAAGATGTGTGCGAGGACACACAGCTGTCTTATTAGACCGTCCCTTGGCCTGTCATCTGAGACAGTGTGGATTCGCCTCGTTCGCCCAAATGAAAGCTGGTGTGTCAAGTATGAAAGCAACAGGAAATCTTCTCTGCACGCTGGAAGTAACACATTGACAGAGTTTTCATGCTCGCTTGAAGGCTTGCAGTTCTTAAACGCAACATTGCAATCTGACAAAGGTGTGAAACATGGCAAATAATATCCTGAAAAAAACACTTGACAAGAAGACTGATATTCGACAAAACATTTCTGATTAACAACCTTTTTTTTTTAGTATTCAGCTCTATTTTAGCAATGGTCGGTCCAGACTGAAATATATAAATATTTATCTGATTTATTGGCACTAAATTTCATACAGAAATCCATGGTCCCCAGAGGATGAATCCTACTGACTTTGATGATCTCCTGACTTTTCCTCTTGTGCCACAATGAGATTCACATTTGTGGTTTTGAGTGAAAATATATCAACGACAACCGGATTGAAAACCATGAAATTTAGTTCAGACATTCATGGTCCCCTCAGGATAAATTTTAATAACTTTGGTTATCACTTCGTTTTTTCATCTAGTGTCATCATCAGGTCAGAATTTGAACTCGTCCAACGCTTCGGTTTATGACCAAATACCCACAAAACGAATGATATTCCAATCAGCCTCAGCTCAACTTTGAGTTTAGTGCTTATTGCTCAATGTTAGCATGCTAGGTTTGTTAAAGCTATGCTAACACTTGTTGATATCTTTTCCCCTCCATCTTAACCTTCCAACTACACTCACCGCTTGTATCTTGCCCAGCATATGCACAAGCATTTTCATGTGACAAGGGTAAACAGTGAACTGCACTAGCAACAAACACAAGATGTGTATTTTAGCCATATTTATCATATTCTAGTGAAAATATCAAATATGTTTAGAACATATCGAGCATATGAATGGACACAGGAGAAGCACATTGTCCTGTGGTGTGAGTGATCTGAAGTCTGTTAATTTATGACTTCATAGAGGGGTGACAACAGAGGGAAGAAAGTCACAGGGAATGACATGCAACAACCAGGGACATTGCAATTAATGGTCAGTGCCTCAAAGTTTCTTGCCAGGGGTGAATAGTGGTGATGGTCACTTGCTAAGAGCCTCAGCCATCATTGCATTTACAAAACGCAGCGCTACGTCTTCAGGACAGCCTGGACGCTACAGTGACTGGCTTTTGCAAAGTGACAAGACGGCCGGGCCACACCAGGGCTAGCTGGTTAGCATGCTAATTTCAGTAGAGGAAAAGAAGTGATAGAAGTGGAAGCAAAACAAGAGTCAACATTGGTGTTTCTTTCTGCGAAGGAATAAAGTTTGATGCTGAACTCGTAGTGTTTCTTCTAGATGAAGTAAACAGCTGTTAATGATAATGTTAGCTATGTAGCAATAGCAAAAGTTACAAATAGCTCATTTAAAACCCGAGGCCATCAGGGTTGGCCTTCTATGGGAATAATATTTTAGCAGAAATAGGCTATGTGAACATAATTCCTCAGGAAATAATGTCCGACTTGTTTGGGATTGGGACATTGGAATAAAACTTAGGAGTGTATTACCACATTACCCCAAAGTGTGTAAATCAAAGAAAGGCTCCAGGCTCTGGGCACACAGAGCACCATTGTGCTGAGCATTTTGCACTCAGCGTCCAACATAATTTCAAAATTTCCATCGATTGCAGAGAAGCTGCCATCATTTGAATTTCCCAATGTGTTTCCAGTTCCAAAGATTTAACTTCAGAAACAAGGTAAATAGTTCAGGGCGGTCACCCGAATGTCAGCAGTGAGTCAAGTCTTTGAAGATTGTTAAAACGTTGATGATTAAATGAAGGTGAGGATGATGTGCAGGCTTGTCTTAGAAAACCTGAGGCTGATGCAGACCCTAATAACTTTGACCTTTATCTTTTGATAAAGAGACTAATTTTTGACTTTAATGCATCTCATTACTTTCAGAAGTGGGTTGTCGCTAGTGGCTGTTTTTCTGAAACCACAGATGCCGGCACAGATTCACCTCTACTGTTTTACATTATTTATTTTGTGTTAAATACACTGACAGCTGCAGAAGCTTAATTCAAGTTTTTTCCAATAAGCTTGATGTGTGCTTTGCGTCTACCTGAGAACGTATAGATAGTAGCCCACATTTCTCATGGCTGCCACCAGAACTATGTTAGCAGCTTGTTCTCATTATGAATGGAAGATGCTTTGAAATCAAACAAAGGTGTAATTAATTCTTCATTAAGGTTGCATTCCATTGAGATGTTCCAGGTCCAGATGTTCCCTCCTGCTTGATTTCTCCTGTTATCCATCTACCTAACGCTCTATAGCTTTTTAAATGCTTCAAAGCTGTTGTTTATATATTAACATCTTACTACAGATTTTACATTACATTTATTGTTCCCTATCATTTGTGTGTGTTTGTGTGTAGTCTGTGTTATTCCTTTCTAATGATGTTTTTATTTTGCAAAACAATTATGATCAAGTTGGTATATAAATGCCACAGAAATGGACGTATCTCAAAAACTACATCCACTTCACATCACTGTTCATCACTGCATGTTGGGCAGTAGAGGGCGCTAACAGCCATGTTTCCTCTGCCTGCAGGTCAGTGAGGAACAGTTCAGTTGTCCTTTACTAAACACAACATGAAGCCTACCACACTCCTCCTGTTATTACTGATTATTTATTTATGGGTGAGATTTACAACATGAACTTTTTGTTTTTATTGTCCTTATATATACTGTCGTCTGCATTACAGTTTTACAAGAAACTTGCAAGAAACACATATTTTGACTTGAATTTATCATGACAAACTCTCATTTAGACGAAGAGAGACACATGTCTTCTATAAAATGCGATTTCACGGCGTGAGTATAGTAAAAAAAAAAACAAAAAAAAAACAAGTACAAGCTCCTGTGTGAGCAAACTTCAATAATAAATCCATCAGCCGTCCTCCTCCCGCCCCTTTCCCTGATTGGATGTTATCTGTCAAACGTTCCACCCAGCAGGCCACTGATTGGTCCGCTGAGCTGCCAGTCCTCGGGGAGCGCCCGACTCCGGCTTTGGGCAGCAGAGATGCGCCGCTGCTCTCCCTCTCTGCCGTTTAGTGCGTCGAGCGGCGGAGGGAAGTGGAGTTTGCGCGTCTTGTTGTGCGTCCGTGGACCAAACAGCAGCAGCGGTGCGCTTTTCCTCCTCCAGAGCTGCAGGCATCCCGGGGAGCAGCCACGCCGTGCATGCCTCGGAGACCGGGAGAAGGAGGATACTGTGTTTTTTCTTCTTCTTCTTCTTCTTCATTAGTATTTTGACTGATTGAGACAGACATATTTTGTATTTTCCTAATGGTAACCAACACCGAGCAGCCGGAGACATGTGGAATAATCTGGGGAAACTGCACCGCTTCTCACTAGTGTGTCTCCTCCTGACACTGCGGGCTGAGGTGAGAAGTTTATGTGATCCATCTCATGGGGAGATGATGTTTTTGATGGTGCTTTAACTTATCAATAGACTGGAAGTTGTGTTTTTGGAGGGGGTTAAATTCCAGCCTTAATTGAATTGCCTGCTCGATAGTTGAATCATGTGATCTCGGAAATTACTAAATGTGCACTTCCTTCGGGAGATTGAATAAATTTTAGTTCGCAGGCGAGTTAGGAAACGTCATTAGCTGAACATTTGTATGATAATACACAAATACACTGTTTTAATCAATTTCCCCTAGGGGATAAATAAAGTATCTATCTATCTATCTATCTATCTATCTATCTATCTATCTATCTATCTATCTATCTATCTATCTATCTATCTATTTATAAGTGATGGGAATTTGTCAAAGTTTTGTATTTTTCCATAAAGTTTCATCACTAACGAATCGGTGCCAGTGTTAACTGCGTCAATTAGCGTTTTACGCAGAGTCTTAAAAGCTCGGTTACTCTAAATAACTGGGTGAAATAGCTTCACATGTCTCTGGTACAGCTTCACCTGCTTGGAAAAATCCCCTGAAACAAACCACAGAAGTCAGATCACAAGCAAATCTTCAACATTGTAGAAACTTGTTCGGGAAAAAAAAAAAATTCAGATTTTAATAATAAAGATCTTGTTAAGGTGGATTTCTTCTCCAGTGTACAGCTGCAGCCTGATATGCAGAGTGAGCTGAATTGGAGTATTAGGTCGCCTTATCCAGCTCTTAAGTCCAACTGTGCCAACACGTATAGTAGTGTGTGTAGTGTGTGGGCTGCAGAGTGACTGCACAACTGCAGAAAAAGAAAAAGTCCTACCCCCCTTAAATCTGCTCATAGGACGAGATAATTCCACTTGCATCATTTTTAGAGCGATTCGATGAATCAAGGGTCATTTTGCCATTTGTGATTTCACCCTAAAGCGTTAATATATAAGTGTTTTCAGCCTCTCACACTCCCTCGTGTCCTCCTCAGGTGTCTCAGTCCACGGGTTACTTCGAGCTGCAGTTGGTGTCGGTGGATAACCCCAAAGGTCAGCTGCTGAACGGCGACTGCTGCGACGCGGAGAAGAGCGCGGCGGAGGGCCACTGCGGCGCGGACGAGTGCGACACCTACTTCAGAGTGTGTTTAAAGGAATACCAAACGGAGGTCATGACCAGTGGACCGTGCACCTACGGCTCGGAAACTACTAAGGTTATCGGTGGGAATACTTTTCAGTTCAAAGGCGGCCAGAAAACCGGACAGAACCGGAACAACGACGCCGGGAAGATCATCATTCCCTTCCAGTTCGCGTGGCCGGTAAGTGGATCATCGTGTCACTGTGTGTTCGCCGGTTTCATGCGGAGAACAGTCCAAATTTCAGTGTTTATTGGAGGAAAAATTGCGTAAAAGTGGCAAAAATATTCACCTGGATGCTTCACCAGAACTCAGACTGTGAGAGTCCATTACATGTTAAAACATTATTTAATGTGATAATCTTCCATCATAAAAGGGAGTTTGGATGTTTTAGTGGTGAATCATGCCGCAGCCTTAAATCTGCCATCCCAGCTCGTACAAAATGTAATCTGGCACATTTTTGGCACATTTTTTACTGTAGCATTGCATTGCATTCTGGGTCTCTGCGTGCCACTCATTCTTTCCTCCGCGTGTCCATTCGGCAACTTTTGGCGTCTCTACATCATCCAACACCTCGTGGAGGACGTCACATTCCTCTCTCGGATTTTTTGAGTGAATATGTGCGTGTTTCTGATCAAGCTAAAAAATAAAAATAAAAAAAAAAGAAGCCCTGAGCGCGCATGACGCACAGCGGTGGTGCAGTTGTGTCTGGGGGTTTGATGAGTTACCAAACAAGCTGCTGTTTGTCTGGCTTCAGTTACAGTGAGTGGGAGAGGAAAAGAAGGAGGGGGGGGTACGTTGCCAGTGTTTGAAGGGATGGGGGAAACTAAGGATTTCCATGCAAGTGTTGATTAAGAAGTGGCAGGTAACTTATTATCTAATCTAAACACAGCAGCTGAGCCAATCAAAACCTGCTCCTTCTCCTTATTTGGAGAACCAGCGTGGGAAACAGGAACAGTGCTGGCAATCAGAGCTTCATGAAACCTGCTGTAAGGCCAGAGGAGCTGCTGTTACACCCAGAGATCTGTATCAGGGAGGGCTAATGCTCAGAGTCAAGTCCCGTGGAGAAAACGTCACAGGTTTGATTCCCACATCAGCTGAGTGAGCTGTCAGAATAAGAGCCCTCAGTTATTGTGAGTCAAAGTGGAAAAGAGTGTGAGGCCATAACCACCAGAATATTAACTTGTGCTGGAGCGATTAGTCCCTGAAACAACCAGTCAATCCAGAGAAAACTCATTAATGACTCATTAGTTAATCACTTATTTACATATTACCAAGAATTACATTACATCACTTAGTTGTAACGGTCATATTTTCTTAATATAAGTGAGATTTTAATGTTTTTATAGATTATAAACAACTTTTTTAAAGGAATTTTCTACATTTAAGTGTCATTTTCCTGATTCTAGTGCAGCAATCTGAGTTAATGTGTCAATTTTTATTAGAGGCAGGTTGAAATAATCTCATAACACTCGCAGATTTTTTTTTACTTCTTTTAACAAATTAAGACTTTTAGGACTCAATAAACAAAATGACTTGGAGACATGACGTTTTTGGAGTTTATGAAGAAAAAATACAAAAAAAAAAAGGATTTGTTCTTTTTTTCTCCGCTTCATTTCAGTCTTATTAAATATCGGGGATTTTTTTAATGGTTGCTCGAATTGTTTGATGACTCACACTGGGCTCTGGGAATGTGTGATGCACATTTTGTCTTAAAGTTTAGACTTTTTACAGACTAAACATCAAATTGATTAATTGAAAAAGTAAAAAAAAAAAATCATGAAAATGCACCCCTGATTTCTGCACAATAACCCACATGCAACAGCAACACATGTGATGCTTTTAGAAGCCCCTGCATTCGAAAACAGAGGATGAGACAGAAATAAGAAGCTGAAGTAATTGAAAATCATTTAGTCTTTTAACTATTAATACTCATTCCAGCCATATTTGCCGTGAAAGAACAGAAACACTGTCCGTGCGTTCATGTCAGAACATACATATCGTACATATCGGGTGCTTTGTGTGCGCGGCTGGCTACGTGACCTCTCCATTCATCACTCCCCATGGTCAGCTGTCAGCAGAGGGGAAGATGGAAGTAGTAAGTTGGGGCCCTGCGGGCGGATACGGTTACCACTAAGTTGTGTGTGACACAGGCGGTGGATATCAGTGTCACCAACTACTCAAACAAGTGAAGATCCCCGGTCAATCTGGGCTGGGGGATGCCTTTACCTCGCCGCCTCTCAGGTTCACGCTCTGTCCGTTATTGGGTCATTGTCTCACTCGGCGTGTGTGGGGTCAGTATTTTCCACTATCCGCCTGGGAGGGGGGTAGACGAGTGTGTGTGTGTGTGTGTGTGTGTGTGTGTGTGAGGGGGACATAAATGAAGGAAGGTATCAGTGTTCAGCAGCTTCTTCTGATGAGGCTGTCAAGGTCGAAGCAGTTGAGGGCTTTTTAAAAAATGTCTGCACACTTGATATTTTTTAATCAGTTCTCCAGACGGCTCATCACGTTCACATCGCTGGTTTCAATCAGTTGTTTAATGTCTGTGCTGCTAAAGTCACAGCTTGTGATATGTTGGTTATTTTTTAATTGATTAATTGTTTAATTTATAAATGAGCAGAAAACAGTGAACATTTCAGTTCCCCACAGCCTAAGGTGAACTCTTGAAAAAGACTTTTATTTTACAATAATTTAAAACTGAGAAAAAGCTAAAACCAGTTCGTGTTTGGCCTTTTTGCTTGATGAATGACTTTAATCAGACATTAGACTAACTGAATTAACCGATCATATTACAATTTTGCAACATCTTTTGCATGTCTTTCAGCAAACATGTTTATGTTCGAGTGACAGCGCCCTCTAGTGGCTGTAGTAATTATGGCGGGAGCAAAGGAGGAAGTGAGGTGATGCGGTACGTAGGGAGGATGGATGGGTTGACAAAAACACTGGAAACTAAACCACTATTCCTTTCTCATTGTCAACTGTGTTTCTTGTAACCATGACCACAATTTTATTATTGTAACCATGACGATAAAGATCCTCTCGCCTTAACAGGGTACTTATTTTAACCCAAACCACAAGCTTGCCCTTAACTTAACCAAGTATTTCTTTACTCCTTGTCACGACATAAAACAGTTAGTTTAACAGTTTATCTGTGGCGTGTCTCCTGCTGCCAGTAGGAGGCGCTAATTCAGAGGACGCTCGAGAGTTTAGGGAAAAACAACTGATGTGTTCATTGAGCCTGGAGGACTTTTTTTTTAAAAATTTTTTATGGATTTTGTCCTTATTGAACTGAGCGTCTACGAATAAAGGATGTTCTGTATAATAAAGGCTGTGAAGGCCTCAAAGGCAAAATTGTGATTTGCAACTTTGGGTGATATAAATAAAACTGGCCTGGCATGACTCATCAATTAAAACTTGTGATGTGACGGCATTATATTCTTAGTGTGAGCAGGTTTGTGACGGCAGTTTTCACGCTCGGCTGAGGTTCAGTTGGAGGACCTGCTGTTAGCTTCAAGTTCTTGGCTTCTCTTCACTTGGTTGTAAGTGACGGAAACGACTCCGTCAGCAACTGGAGTAAACGTCGGGGGTTCAGTGTTTTCTTTACAGAGCCATTGTGCTCTTTTCATCAGTGAGTTTAGGTTCATCGAGCGTATGTTCTCTCTGTTTATTCAATGATGAAAACTCTGTTTCTAAAACAACAGAAACACTGTTTGACAAAAAGAAAAATCTCAAGTCACGATCGACTTACTAGCTTTAACCGCAACTCACAGCCTTCCTCAGTGATTGTACTTTTGTAGATCTTGATCTTGAGTTTTTTTTTTATCAAAGTTCAAGAATGAACTTTCACACTCAAGACAAATGAATTTTTATCAGCCATCATCTCAACATCATCCTTACATCATCATGTCAAACAAACCATTTTTGTTTAATTATTAATCATCTTTTGAGACTAAATTTTACTTTTTCAAGGTGTTAAATGACAGATGTCTCACTTGCTTCATGAAATAAAAGCCCAGACCGTCCTCTCCTCCCAACACATGGAGTAGTTTGTACTCTGTCGTGCTGTTTGACAGCAAACAGAGCTAACAGAGTGTGTTTTGTACGCGGCCGTGGCCTGTAGCCTCTGGTGCTGCTATAGTGGACTCCTTCAGTCGGCCCCAGTATCTGGGCCACTGGTCCTGACATGAATTAGCTGCTGTTAAAAAAAAAAAAAAAAAAAAAAAAGACATTTGTTCTGCCCTCTCCTTTGCTGATCATTTCCCCTTCATGCTAACCGCCTCCGGCTGTTTGGGTCTTCAGTGACATCTTTTTCATGAAAGGGAATGAGGGGAGGGGGGGGAGAAAGGAGAGGGATTGACCGATGGAGCGAAGGAAGGAGGGAAGATGGAGAAGACAGGAAAGAGGGACGAAGAAGCCCTCCTTTAAAAAAAAAAAAACAAAAAAACAACAAAAAAAAAACTCAGCTTCCTTGTGAGTTTTCTGTCACGAGGGAGGTGTATTTTTAGGATGCCGACACTTAAGATGCCGCTTTTTTTACTCTAGTGACCGGAGCAAAAACAAGCATTCACTTCTTCTCTGTTGCCCCCCCCCCACCCAAACCCTCTCCTGCCTCCTCATCTCCCTCTCCTTCTCTCCTTATGGGGTATTTTTAGAGCTGCTGTCCTCCCCTCACCCCTCTGTGAGTAAATCAAGGATCAAGGGGTGCGTACTCCTTCAGTTTCATAGCTCGTTTTTTTTTTTTTCGTCGGTCTCCACTCTTGCCAGAATTTCCTCCTCAGCCTGGCAGAACTGAGAGGACAGAGGTGGAACAGCTGTTGTTTAGAGACCTCCTCAACCCCCTGCTCCTAGAATAAATGTTTTAGTCAAATAGCATTAGGAAAACAGGCTATGATTACAGCACGCCGAGTGTAAGATCACCTCTCTCAGAGGAGTATCAGTGAGCAATCACAAAGTGCAATGCTGCCAGTCGTCGTCGTCTTCGGTTGTTTCTCTCGATGCCGTCACTGCCGGCCGTCGGCTCGTTTGGCTCATTTGCCGAGTGCGTCTTTGGCGCGCTCGCCTGCTCTTCCATCAGGAGCTCCTCTCAGTTTGGTGATGCTTTTATGGTTGATTAGTTTCGGGTAAAAGAGGAGAAGGAGGAGGAGGAGGGAGTGATGTCCACGCAGATGGAGGTTAGAGGCTGA